TCAGGTTGGACCCAACTCATAGTGACCCCTTCTTGGGTTTCCGAGGCAGTATCACTACGGAAGTAGATTGCCCAACCTTCCTTCCGAGGAGTAGCTGGTGGGCTTGAACCACCAGCCTTCTGGTTAGCAGTCAAGTGCCTTAGGCACTACGCTACCAGAGCTCCCTCATGAATTATTTGTGATTATGATTTTCATTAAAATAATTAGTTGATATGGTCCAGTGTGTTACCATACATGTTCATAATCTGTTTTCCATAATTCTGAAATCCAAAAAGCAGTGAAATCGTAACTCATTTTGTGATGAAACTTGGCCAAAACTAACATTTGGATATTTATAATCTTTTTTTATTTCATTTTGTATGAAATGCTATGCATTTTACTATAGAAATATGAATATAGTTGAATATGAGAAGCTGCCCCAGAAAATACTGGTTAAATATAGTAGAGTTATAAAACATATGATATGCACTATATTGTATTTTTTAAATAAAACATATGAATTCTGATACATCTTTGGTCCCAAGTGTTTTGAATAAATAATTATAGACTTGTATGCATGTTTATTATTGTAGGTACATGTATACACATACTCACATGTAAACTGTACATATAGAGAGATATCCAGAATTTTATATTTAAATTTTTAACTGTAAATGAAGCAAACTTCATTAACTAAAAACTTAGTATTTCATGTGTGAAACACTGGAGAAACTAAGCAATTCTCAACTTAATCATTAACACCTAGGGAAGCATAAAAAAACTTATAAGATTTATCTAACTGCATTTTTTTTTTTTTTTTTTTTTATACTTACAGAGCAGTAAACATGACAAAATGTTTTCTCTCAGTTCAATGAAGTTTTATCTTGGAGTGAAAAAGAAAATGAAGCCTCCAACAAGGTAAACTTTGAAAGGGAAGGATTATGGAAAATAAGAAATTATGGGGAAATATGTCTGAGCATTTAGGGTTCAGAGACATTGGTCTACTTTCTTACAAATTAAGTTTTAGGCAAATTACTTAAGTTGCCTTTTCTATGTCAGGGACTCTTATAGAGCAAAGGAACCTATGTGAGTAGATAAGGAGTGGTGGCATTCCCACTGTGACTCAGGTCATGCCTTTGGGTGATTGCGGCCTCCCCTGGATGAAGCCAAGAAATCTCCAAAGGACCCCACCTGCTGGGAAGCACCTGGACTCCTCTGCATCCTGTCCCTTGATCGCTCATGGCCTGGGGCACAGACAGCATATTTCAGCCAACTGGGCACCTAGTAAAGCAGATGATACTATCCGTCCATGTGTTGCCTGGCTTCTAGAAAATTCTGGTCCTGGCTCTGAATGTGTTATTGTGGACACACTCAATTCAAACAGCCACTTTCGGTACTGAATACAGATCATATAAAGGTTGGAGAGAAAATGGACCCCACTTCAAAGTAATGTGCTTCTTAAAATTTAATTCACCCACAGCATTCAGTATATACCATACCATCATATTACAGATGACCTTGATTAGCTTCTGTATGTTTGCATTAATATTTTTCCTTTTGTGGTGAAATGTTTTAATGAATTGATATACTTCCTTTTCCAGTCATATTCTGAAAACTTCATCGTTTTTACCTCCATACTTCATTTCTAAGCCAAGTACCTATCTATACCTGTGCTGCAGTGAGCACTATCATTAACTTACCTCAGTATCAGTAGGTCTACATGTATATTATCTCATTTTGGTCAGTTTCTCAGACTTTTGTTTTTATTCAGTCAAGAGTATCTTCTCAAAGACTTCCTCCTCTGTCCCATAATATTGTGGGGCTCCTAGCCTCTGACTTCCTTCAGCCTAGCTAAATTTGTAGCCAAATCCTTCAACACTTAGTACGCATCTATAGACAAGTTATAACCATTCACTTACCGGTAGCTTGTGGAAATCTATAGTATTAAGCATTTCTGCCATTAGCTATTGCCTCTTAAACGTCTAATTTTGTTTTCAGTTTTGTAAGTTTTATTATTTTAATGTTTGTGATTTTTTTTTTTTTTTTTCCTCGTGATACAGTTGGGGATTGACAGCATATTCTGAAAAACATCACTGGTAAGTTAACAGCTGGAAGCTTTTGGATTTGATATATTGGTGACAACTTCTGTAAAAGGCTAACTTTACTCTTTGGCACAGAGAACCACAGACAAATGTTTCACCTAAGTGAAGCTGAAATCTTTTCCAAATACCTTGAATCTAAGAACAGCAAAATAAATTTCTGTCCTGGTTTAAGTTTCTTCTAACCTCTTGTACTGTATTCTGTTTCCCAGTGCCTTTTAAGAAAAACACATCTAATTTCTTCCATACTTATCATACAAATATAGATTCCCAGATTTAATGTGATAAAAAGCCAAAATTTATTTTTAGAAAAAAAGATAAGAACTAGCTAAAACTCAGTTTAAAAAAAAAAAATGCATATCCTCGTTTTAAACTTATTCATTCCATATATGTACTTTTTTTTCCATTGGTGTTAACCACTTTTCCACCAATTTCCCTTGAGACTGTACTAGGTTTCCCTTTCAGCGTTACCTGCCTGCATCTGGTTAGTCAATAAGTCTTGTCGATTCTGCCTCCTATTTCTCTCAATCCACCCCTTCATCCCTGTGGTCATACTTTCATTCACATCTGCTTGGATTATTCCAGTGCCCACTAAGTGCTCTTTATGCCTCTGACTTGGTTTATGTTTCCAATACATTCTTCCCCCAGTCGCCAAAAACATATTTCTAAGTATTAGGGTTCTCTCCTGCTTTAAAACTTCTTTGAATCCTCTACCTATAGATTGAAGCCAAATATTCTTGGCATGAAATGCAAGGCCCTTTAGTCCATGGCTCCATCAGCTTCATCCCCTGTGACCTTCCCTTTTTACTTAATGATAAAACAGTAAACTGTTTCAATTCATCCTATCTGCTTTACCGCTTCGTATCCACATGCCTTATGTAAGTGTCCCTTTACGGACTCCCTACCCTCTCTTCCCTCACAACTTTCATCTTCTTTCACTGATCCAGTAGACACACTCAAGTTCTTCTTTCAAAGCATATCTCAAGTGCCCTAAAAGTCTTACCAGATAGTTTGCACCTTTAAGCATCATTTGTTGCTTCTTGACACTGACAGTATTTTGCATATGTGGATTTCTAACTAAAATATTTCAGAGGAGAACAGTTTTGTTGCACCTGGTAATGGAAAGAAATAAATGTCTCCATTAGAAGCTAATGAAGGAAGCAAGAATTATTGGGAAATTTCTTTTTTTTTTTTTTTTTTTTTTGTAACTGGATGATTTTTCATTACATAGGATTGTGAAAAATATACTTCCATTGGAAATGGCCATTATGTCCTTCTAACATCACTTACACAATGTTCCCCTATGAAACAACACCCACCTCATTCCCAAGTCTGTTCTTTCTAGGTTGTGCTCAACTTAACTTTATCTGTTTTCCACAATGTATTATAATGGATTTGTTTACAGGCCTAACTCCCCTAATAGGCCTTGAGAGCTTGATCTCTGAGTTATTTAGGTTTCCAGTAAAAGGCTACTGAATCAGTGTTGGAAATGCAGTGATTTTTCATTTGGTTTCATTTTTTAAGTCTTGTGGGTATTAGTGTTTATGATCATAATGATGGAGCCTTGTTTAAAGATCTGCTATTAAAAGAATATATACACAGTTTTCTTCTTAGGCTTAGAGTTTCTAGGGAAAAAACAAAAAGTTTCCTATCATGTACCTGAAAAAGCAAAATAACATTGACCTTTCTGCCTTTCCAAAAATACTGCCTGTCTTTTTTTTAGTAGTTACCAAAACTTTTAGGTGTATTTTTTAAATTAACATCATATCATCATAGTTATTGTAGTATTATATACTTTAACAGAAGCCTGAAGAAACTTGCTCTCAAATTTTCCACTTTTAATTGCATTAAGTCATTAATCAGGAGAAGGTCAGATAAATTTCTGATCATGAATCACCAATCAAACGCCCCTGAGTCCAGTTCGTTATTGTTGTTGTTGTTAGGTGCCGTTGAGTTGGTTCTGACTCATAGTGACCCTGCGTACAACAGAACCAAGCACTGCCTGGTCCTGTGCCATCTTCACAATCCTTGCCAGGCTTGGGTCGCAGCCACTATGTCAGTCCATCTCATTGAGGGTCTTCCCCTTTTTCACTGACCCTCTACTTTACCAAGCATGATACACTTCTCCAGTCCCTTCTGACAACATGACCAAAGAAAGAGAGATGAAGTCTGGCCATTCTCACTTCTAAAGAATATTCCAGCTGTACTTCCTCCAAGACAGATTTGTTCATTCTTGTAGCAGCCATACAATACAGAATTCAGTATTCTTCACCAATACCACAATTCAAATGCATGACTTCTTCTTTTATCTTCCTTCTCCATTGTCTATCTCTCACGTGCATATAAGGCTATTGAAAATACCATAGCTTGGATCTAGGTGTATCTTAGTCTTCAAAGTAGCATCTTTGCTTTTTAACACTTTAAAGAGGTCTTTTGCAGCAGATTTTCCCAAAGCAATATGTCATTGGAGTTCTTGACTGCTACTTCCAGGGGCGTTGATGGAGGGTCCAAGTAAAATGACATCTCTGACAACTTCAGACTTTTCTCCATTTATCATGATGTTACTCATTGATCCAGTTGTGGGGATTTTTTTTTTTTTTGTTTTTAATGTTAAGGTGTAATCCATACTGAAGGCTGTAGTCTTTGATTTTCATCAGTAAGTGCTCAAGTCGTCTTTGCTGTCAGCAAGTAATTTTGTCATCTGCATATCTCAGTTTACTAATAAGTCTTCCTCCAATCCTGATACTGCATTCTTCTTCATAGAGTCGAGATTCTTGGTTTATTTGTTCACTATACAGATTGAATGAATATAGTGAAAGGCTACAACCCTGATGCATACCTTTCCTGATTTTAAACCATGAAGTTTCCCTTTGTTCTGTTCAAACGATTGCCTCTTGGTCTATGTACAGTGTCCTTATGAGCAGAATTCAAACTAGTCTATGTTCTCTTTGATTTATGCGTTTTACCATCCTTGTTTTGCAGGCATCTGTGTTGTGATAGCTTACAAACCCAGACAGAGTGGATGGCCAGTCTTTTTATTGCCCAGGTATGATATATATATTTCAACCATTTTATGTATAGAGAGAGCACCTTGGTGGCACAAGTGGTTAAGTACTCAACTGCTAACCAAATGGTCAGCAGTTTGAACCTAGCAGCTGCTGCACAGGAGAAAAATGTGATAGTCTACTTCTGTAAGGTTTACAGTCTTGGAAATCCTGTAGGTAGTTCTCTTCCATCCTATAGTGTCAGACCTAACTCAACTGCCTTTTTTTTTTTTTTTTATATATATATTTATTACAGCTTTATTTATGGGAAATGTTAGTATGATAGTGATTTTCAAATAATTTTTGTTTTATGTGTATATATTTGGCATATTTTATTATTTGTATTTTTAAATATCTGTGAGAATTCAAATGCATTCATTACCTTTTGAAAAAATAAAGTATGCCACTCTGTAGAGACATTAGTTTTTCCAGCCCCAGCCGTTTCTTGGCTTAGGAAGGGTAGGTTGGTTTGTGATGAGAGGGAGGGAAAAAGGGACGTAGCTAATCTGCCGTCCTCCCAGAATCCCCGGTGGATCTTAGTTTAAAGAATTGTTCTATTTTCCTTCTTGTTCTCCTTATGGCCGAACATTCTTCCCACCCACTTTCCTAGAAACAAGGAGAACCTACATTTCTTTAATACATGTTGTGTGCTAGATACTTCATAAGTGTCAACTGGTGTATGCCTTGTAATTTATCTGCACATGAAATCAAAGCTGTTTCACTTTGCACTTGAGGAAGTAAAGGTTAGCAAGTGTTCCACCATTTGCTCAGGAATGGTTCAGACCGAGAGATGTCTGAGGCCAACACTTACACCCAGTTCTCCTTTCAGTCTCCTCCCGAGGGGAGGACTTCACCCTTCAGGTGAAGGGTTAAAGAGTCCCAGTAATAGGATTGGTTTCTTTCCAACATTGTCTGGCTGAATTCCCAGCAATACTTCCCACAAGAGCATTGAAATTCACTGGTAACGATTAAGTTGCCACTCTTTATTACTTAAGATGTTTTCCTGTTATTACTTTCTTGTTTCTCTAACAACTGTGAAGTTAACTCA